CTGGAACGTCGTTAGATCTCTCGAAGACTCGGCGATGAGTCGTTCGTCGTAGCCGACGTAGAGGTCGAGCATGCCGCCGCATGGTCTTCCTCCGAATTGTTCTGCGAGGTATTCGGGCGTCGGCGGTACACCGGAATGTTGGATTGTGACTGCATTGAGGGGCTTGAGGGAATGGACGAGTCGAAGAGATTTACCGTCCTTCTTGACGACACAGAACCACCGTGATCGATACGACGAGTTCGATGGCTCGTAGACTCCGGCGGCGATCTTTCGCTTGATCACCGCGCAGACTTCGTTGTAGATCCCGGGCGGGATGGGGATATTCTTCTGTACCCAGGGCGTGTGAGGAACGACGGGGAAATCGACGGGGGGGAAGTACTCGGGCTTGAAGCATCCGCGCTCGTCGTCGGTCCATGCGAAGGCTTCGTTGTGCAGGCACATGAAGTGGTGGAGGACTCGACGTTCTTCGGGAAGTAGGAAGTCGCCGTCGTGAAGCTTCTCGGTTGCTTCGAAGCGTTCGAGGGTGTACCGACCGGTAGGTTTGAACGGCGGGGGGTCGGTCGAAAGCTTAGGCATTGTGGATAGAGGGTCGCCCTTGATGTCGCGAAGTATTCGAAATTGTTCGGGGACGGCACCAAGGACGGGTCTGGTTTTGAGAGCGACAGGCTTGTATTTCTTCTTTGTCGCGGCGAGTATCTTGTGCGTTGAAGGGGTAGAAGTCGATGTCGTCGAAGGAAAGGGAAGAATTGAGTTGGAAAGCTGCGAAATGGACTTCGTCGGAACGGGAGCTGGCGGAGTCGAAGCGAACGGAGCTGAAAATAGAAGAGTCGAAGCCCACGTCGAAGCGTTCGACGGAGCGGCATTAGAAGCTATATTGTCCGAGGCGTAAAGAGACTGCAAATATGATGAAACGGAGGTGCATGCAGAGAGGTACAGCGACGAAACAGCGTTCGGAATCGAGGAATCAATAGGAGAGACGAAGGAAATACTCGGTTTTACCCCATCGTAGTCGATGACTAGCGCGGCTTCTCCTTGATCATGGGGAATCAATTCCTCGAAGCGAGAAAATGCGATTTGCGACACCCGAGAGGATGCTGCCGGCTTCGCGATCTTCCTCGCGCGTACGTCGGAATTGTGACGGTTTCGCCGGTGTTCGGACAGAGGATCGTAATGGTCTGGTTCTCGTCGGTGAAATTCTTGACGACACTCTGCGTGAGCACGTCGAAGGGTCGGCCGAGGAGGATGTCGTATGCTGCGTTTCGAATGACGTGAGCCTGAAGATACAATACGATCTCACCGATGCGGAAGGGAACATTTCGAATGAGTCCCAGCGACCGGTCCACCTCGCCGTTTGCCGATTGCATGTTCAGCTGGATTGTAGGATCGAAGAGGAGGTTGAGGCCCAGACAGACCTCTTCCGACATGGCGACGATCTGCGAACCTGGGTCGACGATGCATTCGATCTGCTCTTTGTTGTCGATCAAAGCGATGATCGAGCGAATCGCATTCGAATCGCGTGCGACGGTGAATTCTGCGGGGTGCTCGCCGTGAGGGATGTGCTTCAGATATGTTTCATAGGGGTCGGGGACAATTGTAGCACCTGGTTCCAACGTTGCGCCCGAACACGAGAGCTGGTTGACGGCCGTGACCTCGTCGGCGCCGATTTCTACGATGTGGGCCGACGCGACGGGTTCCGTTGAGACTCGCTTAGGGGTGACGGCGTCGCGGTACTTGTTTCGAACGTCGGGCGCGATTGACAGCAACTCTTCTGGGGTCAGCGTGACGAACGGCGACTTCATCGAACGCTGGAAGATTTCCTCGGCGAGCTTCGGCTGGATGACAGGGACGATGGTTTTGTACGCTGGTTCCTTGCCCTTGTCGTTCGAGGGCTTCGGCGGAGTTGCGAAGTTTCGAACGTTCGGTGGGGCGTAGGTTGCGTCGCGAGCGTTTGCGAAAGGGTGTACTGGTGGTGCTGGGGGAGCGGACGTAGTAATAGGATGAGACGTGGATTGCGTAGACGAGGAGGAAGACGGCGGGGGTGCTGCTGCTGGTATCGTTGTAGGCGGGGCCGTGCTTGTCGAAGTGCTCGAGGGCGCCGCCACTCCTTTCGATGTACCAGATCCCGAGGCTTCCGCGCTCTTCGGGACGGCTGGCGTCGTAGGCTTCTTCCGCTGTAGAATCTCGACGCCGTCAAAGACCTCCCTTCGCTTCCGAAGCTGAAGG